TCTGTGTCGGGCATAGCCATCTTTTATAGAGGATGCCTGATCAAGGGAATCTCTCGAGTTCAAGGGTGTGTATCGCTGAGTTCTTGTGAAGCCGAGTTGAGAGCCATCTTGACTGCGGTACAGGAGAGTGAGGGACTTGCGACTTTGATCGGTCAGTTGGCCGAGTCAGATGTCACGATCCGATTGCACACTGACAGTTCCTCAGCGAGAGCGGTTTTGCTAAACCGTGGGTTGAGTAGGCGAGTTCGCCACTTAGACATCGCTGTCTGCTATCTTCAGGAGCGGATACAGGAAGCTCAGACCTTGAAGGTCATTTGGTGCCCGACAGCGGGAATGATCGCTGACGTTCTTACAAAGTGCTTGAGTCAAGTGACATTCTGTCAGCACCAGCAAGCTATGGGTATATACCCTGGTGAAGATGTGCAGCAGGTGTGGAGGATCTGTGGAATCCGACCAAGGGTTGGAGTTCAGGCATGCCAGTGTGCCGAGGCAACTGGATGCAGTGTGGAGCAAGTTGGATCGTTGAAAAGTGTGAAAAAGTGTGGCGAAGTTTTTGAAAATTTCCACCTTAGAAGTCCCGAAACCCTTCGTGAAGACTCTTCCCCTGAGGTTCAAGAAATGGATTTATGGTCCAACCGCAAAAGCTTTGGTTCAAGCACCACGGAAGCTAGCCCTAGCCTGGAGCCTGTACCTTTGGTGAAGGACAGGAAAATGGCAGCTGAAGACAGCAGGAAGGGTGAGCAGGGTGCTGAGATGAAAAGCCCCTTTTGGTGTAAGGTTTGCAAATGGTTGTTCAGATCCGAGCATGCTGCCGGGTTGAGCTGGGATGAAAGTGGCAAGCCCAAGTGCGAAAAGTGCAAACAGACTGTGACAGTCTCTGGCACGGATGCAAGCCATGCATTCCATCTCCGAGAGGCAGAGAAGGAGCGCCGAGCTGCTGGAAAAAGGGGTGATAAAGGTGAAAGCCGAGGCTCAGGCCAAGCTGCACCGAAACCCAAGGCCATGCCGAAGGTGATTGAACGGATGGTCGACGTGTTTCCGGAGCTGGCGGATCCAGAGCCGCCGAAGTGGTTCGGTGATGTGTCATGGAGTATCTGCCGGCGCGGAACTCCAGTGGATGAGCTAGAGCTCAAGGACGTGGTAGGCACGCTATCCGACAAGGATATGTTGCGCTATCAAAGCTCATACGAGAAGCTGGTGAAGCCCATCCAGGAGGTGTGTGAGCTACAGGAGAAACCCACGAAGATCTTCGGAATCTTGGATGTCCGTGGACAGATTGGTGGCAAGGCCATCATCTGGGAGATGGCAGTGAATGAAGGAGGACTGTACATGGAAGTACCGCCGGGAACGTGTGGCCTGGCGATGTTGAGCTTCGTGAGGTACTTGAAGAGAAAAGGGATAGTCCCTGTTTTGCTTCTGGGTGAGCACCAGGACCTCGGAGTCTTGCGGATGGTGGATCTGTTGTGCATGCTACCCATTTTGGGAGCAGAGAGGATCATGGAGGATGAAGCTGAGAGCTCGTATTATCCCCCATGGGTGTTGCGCTGGAAGAGAAGTGCAAAGGAAGGATCCTTGGTGTTTAAGGAACTGGTGGAGCGAGTGCGAGTGATTTCGATGTTGTCGTGTGATACACTTCGGATTCACGAGCCGGAGCTGAGGGAGAGACCAGTCCCCAAGTGGTCGTTTGTGGCCTACAGCCACTACAGATCCGTGATGGAGTCTGTTGCAGGATTCTTGGAGGACCTGGAGAAAAAGAAAGAGGAGATCACCGACACGCAGAGGGCGGCAAGCTGGAAGAAGGTGGTTGCGAGTGAGACTCGAAGCGGTGTTGTGTGGATCTGCAAGTGTAAGTGGCACTTGCCGACCGACTATGTGGTGAGGTTCAACTTGACGTTGCCTGCCGACATGTGGCAGCAAGCCTTTGGGATCATGGGTGAGAATGTTGGGAAACTCGAGAAGGAGGAAAAGGACCTGAAGCGGATCCTCAAGGCTGCAGCGGAACAGCAAGACCGAGAGTTCGAGGAAGCTGAGCGAAAGCGCAAGCGCATCGCCGACCTGTCAGCTGCCGAGGAAGAAGCTGCTAAGAGAGCAAAGCTGGAAGGCGAAGCGGTTCGCTCGCCTGTGTCAGTTGTACCATCTGAGTTGGATGCAGCAGCTATCGCGCAGATTGCTGAGCGTGTGAAGGCAAGCTTTAGTGTTGCCGATTTGGAGCTGATGTTGGAAGAGAAGAAGAGAAAGGTTGGAGACCAGCCAACTGAGAGGCCTGCGGAGACGCCAGCTGAGCCTAGCCGATCTTCGCAGGATGTGATGATGGAAACGAGGACGGCTGAGTTGGCGGAGATGAAGGAAGCCGCCAAGGAGCGCCGCGCCAAGTTGATGGAGTCAACTGGAGCTGGCGAGAAGAAGGGCGAAGAGGATGAAGAATGAACTGAGATGCTAAGTGATCTCAGTGGTTGGGTGGGTGAGTGAAACCCGCAGCCATTTTTTTGGAAGCCATGGCCGCGTTGCCGCCATGGAGCGCCCGCGATTTTTCTGGTTAGTGTGAGCCCTTGTTTCAGTGCATGAGAAGTTTGCAAAGAGGAGGCAAAATGATGATGAAACTCAACGAGGGACTCTATAGCCCCTTCTGCAAGGCGTCTGATTGCCACCTCTGAAGACGTTTTTGGCTGATGGTACGCTGGAAGAAGCGAAACTATGAAGCCAATCTTTTCCTGAAGGATCAGCTAGCCGATGCTAGTTGGTGAGTTTGGTGACCTGGAAGATGCGAGACTGAGGAGGAGTACCACGACAAGGTCGAGTGCTGAGTGGGAAACATCTGAAGCTTGCATTAATTCGTTTTCACGTGTTTGTCACCACGAACTCTTGGATTCGTTCCAAGACAACCCTGCCCCAGTGCAGGTGGATGCAAGTTTAATTCGTTTTTCACGTGTTTGGACAACGAACTCTTGGGTTACCAGTGATGTGGACCCAGGACAACCTGCCTGATGGTGGGATCTTGCATGAGTTTTAAGTTTGATGTCAGAGATCGACTGGTGTGTTGTTTGTTTCGTTTGGTGGCGAGTACGCACCAAGGGAATGTGGCCAGGGCATCCCCTTAGTGTTGAAGTGCCGAGCTGGGCTTGGACTTCAGATCTTTGACATGAACCCTCAGCAAAATGCGGGGGGTGGAAGATTGTGGCTGATCAGTGATGTTTTTGTCATGTTTTGGATCAGCTTGTATAGGTTTGTTTTGCTTCGGAGTGATTGGGAATCCGTGTGATCCCATCCTCGATGGTTTATGCCTCGTTGATTTCCAAGGAAATCATACGAGTGTGTTTTTGCCCAATACGCTATTTAAAGTGAGTGTGCAGTGTGTAGGAACTTCGTTCTGAAGCTGAGTTTAAGCTCACAAGAGAGAATTCGTTTAGTTTGTGCACTTCGTGACTTTTGGCTCAAGTGGCTCTGACTGTGAAAAAGAGAGAGTTGTCCGCACTTGTGTGAGAGGTCAGGGTTCGTGCTTTCAAGGGAAAAGGTACCAGAGGGACCTTCGGTTTTTCACGAAGAAAGATCGTTGTCCGTTTTTTCAAGATATATAAAAGGCTACATTATGTACACATGTAGGATTCAGGTTGGTATGTATATGGAGATCCTCCTATATAGAGTAGGAGACCTCCTGCCTCGGTTCTTCTTCGGCCGGCTGCGGGCCCATGCGATGTTGCTCTTGCACGTCTCAGGGTCGATCATTTCACCTGCCCAGCGTTTGGCATGGTGAAGGTCCTCGTGCTGCAGGTAGCTGTACTTGGTTGCATTCTTATAAGACATGCAATCCGGATCCGTCTTTAGGAGACCTCCTATATAATTTTTCTAGGAGATCCATCCTCGAACAATTCCAACATAAAATGCACAGCCATGCATCGGCACAGTCGGTGTTGAGGCAGATGTACTCCCGAAAGTACGAGGTTTGCCCGCAGCTGAGACAAGGCCTTAAGTAGCCAGCATTCGGGGTCGATGACCCTGCAGCCCATGCAGGTGGGAAGGGAGGCTCTGCTGGCTCTGCTGGCGCATCGTGGCCTGCCGTGTTTGGAGGTGGAGGACCCGGTGGAGGACCCGGTGGAGGACCGAGCGGCTCATTGGGTGGCCGGGTGGAGGACCGGGTGCACTACCACCGGGTGGAGGACCGGGTGGAGGACCGGGCGGAGGACCGGGCGGATTTGCACCCTGTGCTGCTGGCTGGATCACCACGTTCAAGGTAACCGAGCCAATGCCAGGAATGTCCACCGTCGTGCCTTCCGTGGCATGGGCGTTGGGGGCCACAGGTGCATCGTTCTGGTGGTTCGCTCGGCCCACTTGCTGTGCTGCACCCATGATCGAGTTCGATATCAAGTGATCGTTGGCTATCAGAATGGCTTTGCTCGAGCCTTGCTATACATGCAAAGGAAAAACATCTGTAGCAATGAGCAGATCGCTCGGCCAGCACTTGCACAAACACGGCAGCCAGCTCAATGTGTCAACAGAAGATGCAGCATGGAGTCCTTCTTATAAGGAGGATCGTATAGACATCCTCCTGGAAGAACTTCCAGATATATACCTGCCACGGATCGAGTTGCATGTATGAATTGCATGCACTCACTGCAGATCATTGCTAGGAGTGCTGCAGGCATGCACACAGATCTCGATAAGAAAAAGCCGGCACTGCATGCATGCATAGGAGTGCAGAAGGTGCACTTCCTGAAGGATGCGATCGAGCTGTCAAGACAGCATGATCGACCTGGCTCAATGTGTGCATATGCCATACATAACACGGAAACGGCTGCGACTTCATGCAATGCAGTTGCGACTTCATGCATGCCAAAAATCAAAGCCCAGAGATGTTTTCGCACTTCTGCAAAACTGTTCTGTAAATCACGAGGAAAATTGCAAGTGACTGCTAGTGCACGCTTCTGCAAGCATGAATGTTAAAATTCATCTATGCATGCACAGCAAACATGTCATGTTCCCGCTTGGACTTCAGATTTCGGAAGCTATGCTGGGACTTCTGCTGCTAGCTCTTGGTCCAGCTGGGACCGAAGAGCCCGGGCTTCTTCATAAGTCATGTCCTGCTCCTGGATCTTGGCCCTCAGACTGTGTGCAAGCTCCACATGATTCGGGTACTTCTTTTCGCTCAATTCAAGCAGGAGCTCTCTCTTGTGATTGTTCGTGGTGCAGCGACAGGCCGTGATGTAGGTCCTGGGCGGCTTGCTGGCAGTGGCCTGCCGAACCGCGTGGAGCTTCCTCTTGGCCATATCGATATCACCAGGGTCGACGCATGGATCCTCTGAGCCATCCTTGCTCACCATCGAGTCGGCTGCACTGGGCTTCTTGCTTGGGGAGGCTGGGGTGGCACTTCTGGATTTCACCTTCACAGCCTTGGCCGAGACCAAATCCTTGCTTGTAGCACTGCCTTCGCAATCAGCACCCTTCGCCTGGGCTTTCGCCTTGGCTTTCCCCTTGGCTTTCGCCTTGGCATTCGCCTTGGCTTTCGCCTTGGCTTTCGCCTTCGCCTTCGATTTCGGCTTGGCTTTGGTCTTGGGAGCCAAAGCTGCTGCAGGAACCGCTGCCTTGGCAAGGAGATCCTTATGATGATCGAGAACCTCCTGCGGAATGCCAGCAGCTGGATCCAGGCATGCTTGCGATTCACTGCCATCAGAGTAAACTGTTCGTGTTTTGCAAGCGTGAAGATCAGGAAAGCTCAGCAAGGGATGCTTCAAGGGTGCATCTTCCGCCTTGGCACTGCTGACTTTCGAAGGCCCAGGCTTGCTGTGGACTTGCGACTGCGAAGCTTCAACAGGAGGATTCTCTGAATCCTCCTCGAGATCCAAGGCTTCTGCAGCTTCATCGTCATCACTGCTGTTAATCTGCAGCACCTCGGTCGAGCAAGCCTTGTGGCTCCAGCTGGTGCTTGATGTCGCCGGTGGCTGCAAGCCGTATCTGGCATAGATGTCCTCAGCCGAGCTCGAGGACCTTCTCAGGGGCTTGCTTGTTTTTACATCAGGTTCATCCTTGGCCGGATCGCTCATGCTTTTCGCCAGGGCCCTCCTTCCTCGCCAAAAATGTGTCTTGACTGCAGGCTGATCTGCCTGAATCGCAGGGGTCGTCCTGTCCTTTGCCTTTTGCAAAGCCCTGGCAATTCTCAAAACACTAGGAGGAGTCTTTAGCCCCGACGAAATGCTTTTGACCTTAAGACCGCAGACCTGAACAGCGTGTGCGATCTGCCGACCGAACATCTCAGCAGAATGGCCATCCAAACCTTCAAAGGCCTCTATCGCAGCTTTGGAAATCACCGTCTTCACAACTCTCGCTGACACAGCCAAGTAATCGAGAATGAAGGCTTCGTATGCTGTGCACACCTTGACAGGGTCTGTTTCTCGGTAGGCGGTACCAACACCCTGATAGTTAGCCCGAAGCATCTTCTTCACCTCATCGACTGTGGCCGAGTTGCAGACACGAGCTGCACGAGCAGACATGTGCACGACGCAATTCCCAAGCAAGGCTAGCTGCAGGGTGCATGTGTCCTTTTACAAAATTAATCGAGCCAAAACGCGGTCCAAGAAAATTCAAAACGAGCATGCAATCAATATGCACATGCTGCAAACAAACGAAAAACAGGGCCGACCCGCCCCCCCCCCCCCCCCCCCCCCCCCCCCCCTATAGACAGGAGTGGCCTGCAACCCACGTCCTCGATTATCGGCCGGCCATTGCATGCATGCATGCTGCACACGATCTCGAGCCGTCTTTGCATGGCTTCGATCGAAGCATGCATATATAATACATGTGTTATATCATGTGAAAAACACCTTAAATAGAGTGTGCGAAAAACATGTTTTTAAGGCTTATTGTTTTAAGGGGTATACACTGAAACCATAGACTTTTCGTTTTGGGGGTTTTGGGGTTAAGCTCCTTTCAGGCATCTGGGTACGCTGGTGGCGTCGCGAGGCGGCCTCATCATTCTGGAAAACCCTTCCTCTAGCCTGCTTTGGCTGGACCCGGGACCCGCAGGTCATGTCCTGGGTGCGTGCGCATGCCCCCTTCGGAGCCTCGGTTGCGGCTTGCCATCATGGCCTTGATTTTTACAAGCCCTTGTTCGTTTGGTGCAATCGCCCGGACATCGCGGCGCTTGCCTCCGCATGTCCGCGTATCCCTAATTTTCACCAGCGCCTTTCAGGTGCCCGCGACCCGGATGGCAGTTTCCGCACACGCGACACGGCCTGTTACCCGCCCTCTTCGGCGCGTTCCCTCGCTGCGCTTTGCGTGCCTTTCCTCTCTATCATGGACAAGGACTTCACCGCGGACACCTGGCTGACCCTGCTACCTGCGCGTTTTCCCTGGCCTCCTTCTGCTTTTCCCGTGCAGGATGGTGCTGGTACCTGCAGTACCGCTTGCCACGCTAAACCGCAAAGTGACGACTTGCTCCACACTCTCAGACATGCCTGGTCCGCCCGCCTGTCCAACACCGGTTTCGTCCCCAAAATTGTGAACGCGCTCTCCTCTGTCCGAGGCGGAGCTGACCCCTTTTCTTGATGCCTGCGTTCTTTCTTGCATGTCCAGTGCCCGACCACTTGGTCCTCTCTGTTGCATGTTGAGAACGCCAGCCTTTCCGCCTCAACCTCTGGCATGCATTGTCCCTTATCTGCAGAGATCCGGATGCCGGTCTCTTCCGTCATCTCCGTGATGGTGTCCCGCTTGGCTTCTCTGCTCCTATACCACCTTGCCCAGTCATGCAAACATCGTCCAGCACTGAATCTGCCGCACCTCCTCTCGCGCACTGCGAGTCTGCGTGGAAGTCTGCCTTGGATCATCCAGACATAGTGACATAGTGGATGAACTTTTAGCGGAGGAACTCCAACAAGGTTGGATCCGCGAAATTCCTGGCAAAGACGCGGAGCTCCGCAGTTCACACAAACATACGGCTGTGGGGAAAGTCGGTGTGGTCATATCCGAATCCCGGCCTCCACGACTGGTCGTGGACAGCTCCGAGTCCGGTGTGACTGCCCGCACCCATCTGCCTAACCGTTCCGCTAACCCGATGCTCTCGGATGTCCGCCGCTGCATTCCGTTAGCCGACTCCTCTGAGAGGTTGTGTGCACTGGTCTTGGACGTGAGCAGTGAGCAAGGCACACAGCCGCCTGAAAATCCTTCCGGCAGATCAGGGCTTGCTTTGCTTCCGCCACAGGGGCCGATTGTACCAGTGCCTGACTCTGAACTTCGGTGCCCGTGCATCAGGATTCTACTGGGCTCGCGTCGCTGGCCTGCTGGTGCGCTTAACTCATAAGTTCTGGTGGGTTCATCACTCCGCCCTGATATATGTCGACGACATCCTGGCACTGCTCGAGTTGTCTTCCGCCCCTCTCATGGCTAGTTTGCTGGTTGTTCTGCTTCAAGCCCTGCGTGTCCCGATGAGTTGGCGCAAGGCCAAACTCTCCGCCAGAGTGACTTGGATTGGTTGGCAATTTGATTTCCGCACTTATACGGTCCGCCTGGACCCGGATAAGCTCCGACGCCTGCTGTCGTAGCTCGAACAGTGTCGGAATCTGCAGAAAATCTCTCTCTTTCAACTTTGGAGAAGTTGACGGGGAGGCTCCTTTGGCTGTCTAACCTGTTTCGCCCATTCCGACCGTCTCTGTCTCCACTCTATGCGGACCAGTATTGTCCCCCGCTTGTGCACGTTCCTCTCTCTCCGGAAGCCTGGTCTCGCCTGTCTGCCTGCCTGTCCGAGGATCTCCGGGTTTCGTCTCCGTCCGGGCTCGCGTCCGCGCCTATGGGCGCACGACTCTACCGCGTTGCACAATCCCTGGTCGACAAGAAGGTGGACCTTAAGCCTTTTCCTCACAACACGCGCCGGCTCTGGGTCGAGATCTCAGACCCCAGTTCTCCCGAGCGTTTATTGTCGGAATCCTCGCGTGAAGTTATTGACGTGTGGTTGCAGATTTGCCGTTCCGGGACCGACCTGCGTTCCCTTCACCTGTGGCCCCATTACGAGTGTCAGGCTTTTGCGGATGCGTGCGCATCCTGGCTTCGTGCGCCTGCCCAACGGGAAGTGTCTTTATTTCCAAAACACATTTTCCCCTGCCCAACTGCACAGCATGTTCCCTTGGTTTCCGTCCGACGCTGCTCCGCAACACTGCATCGCGGCCTGGGAATTGCTCGCTCAGTGTGGTCTCCTTCATCTATTGTCCTGTCTGCTTCCGTCAGGCCATCCGCCCGTACATGTCACATTTAGATGTGACAACTCTGCGTCGGATTCGGCCTCTTGGAAAGGACTTTCACTGGCGACAGGCCTCTGTTCTCTTCTCAGTTCTTTCTTCTTGGAGCGCCAGTACATATCCGTTCACATTGATCACGTACCAGGCTTCAAGAACGACCTCGCTGATGCGCTGAGTCGCGCTTATGACCCGACCTTGATCGGGTTTTCCTCCGATCAGCTCTGCTTTGTCCCCTGGACTGCTTTTCCTACCACACTGCGTGCGTATACATACCCTCTCGAGCTTTACATGTCCAGATTCCTGGCGTGTGCTTGAAAAATGCTGGCCTCCGTTACCCTGTCGGGTCAAGCGTCCGCCTGAAAACGTTGGCGTACTCCGGTCCAGCATTTCATTCTTCTGCACCTCCGGTGCTCTCGGTTTCAGCTGATCTGGATCTGCTTCCCGCCAATGTGAAAAAAGGGGAGTCCGCGAGTCGCCTTTTCGCATTCACCTTATAATATGCGCATTCGTAACGGACTAGTGGTTGCTGTGAACGTGGATGTACTTGTACACGTATGTTTGCAGCTAACGCGCAACGGCAAGTATGCACTTAACGCTTCCGCCCGCCCGGCAGCTCTGGCTCCGAGGTTAAGTGCTTACTGCCAGTCCGTTCGATTTTGAAGCACCCGCCGCCGTCCCCTATCTAACCGTCCTTCTGTCTTCCTTGCCGCGCTGCCGTTCTTCGCTGTGGCCTGCTTTTGTGGCGGTTTCTGATCGATCAAAGCATCGTTTCCGACTCCGTCAGTTAAGTCATGGCTCCATGCCCTGCCTCTAGGACGAGCCTGGATAGACTAGGTAGACTGTGCTCTTTGTACTCCGGTCCAGCATTTCATTCTTCTGCACCTCCGGTGCTCTCGGTTTCAGCTGATCTGGATCTGCTTCCCGCCAATGTGAAAAAAGGGGAGTCCGCGAGTCGCCTTTTCGCATTCACCTTAATATGCGCATTCGTAACGGACTAGTGGTTGCTGTGAACAGGCCATTCTCTCACTTCTTGGGGGGCGGGGCAAACAAGTCCAGGCCATGTCTCTTTCTGTCACTTCTTGGGCCCATTTGGGGGGGGCGGCAAACAAGTCCAGGCCATTCTCTCACTTCTTGGGGCCATCCTGGGGGGTGGGGCAAACAAGTCCAGGCCTTTCTGTCACTTCTTGGGCCCATCTTGTGGGGGCGGAACAAGTCCAGGCGATTCTCTCACGTTTTGGGCCAATCTTGGGGGGCGGGGCAAACAAGTCCAGGCCTTTCTGTCACTTCTTGGGCTTATCTTGGGGGGTGGGGCAAACAAGTCGAGGCCATTCGCTCACTTGCGGGCCAGGCCATTCTCTCACTTCTTGGGCCCATCTTCGGGGCGGGGCAAACAAGTCCAGGCCATTCTCTCACTTCTTGGGCCCATCTTGTGGGGGCGGAACAAGTCCAGGCCTTTCTGTCACTTCTTGGGCCCAAGATGGGGGGTGGGGCAAACAAGTCCAGGCCATTCTCTCAGTTCGTGGGCCCATCTTGTGGGGGCGGAACAAGTCGAGGCCTTTCTGTCACTTCTTGAGCCCATCTTGGGGGGCGGGGCAAACAAGTCCAGGCCATTCTCTCACTTCTTGGGCCCATCTTAGGGGGCCGGGCAAACAAGTCCAGGCCATTCTCTCACTTTTTGGGCCCTTGGGGGGCGGGGCAAACAAGTCCAGGCCATTCTCTCACTTCTTGGGCCCATCTTGGGGGGCAGAAGAGAAGGTCTTGAGGTGGTCCAGCGGCACTTGGCGAGTGTCTGAGACGAAAGAAGCAGAGTTGGTTCATACGACTTTTCATTTAATCTTCGATGCTTTTCCGTTTGGCTGCTAGGGTTTGTAGTGGAAATTCCAATGATTGGAAAGGTCTGGGTGGGCCGCGGCGTGATGTACAGGGCCCCGTGTGGGCAGAGCTCATAAGGACCCAAGAGCAAACAAGCTAATTATCAACTGTCTTCGAGCCGAAGACCTCTATGAAAGCGCTGCCAGTTACAGACGAGCTTATGTGTTAAGTGCGTCGCATGACCACAACGCTCCCTTGGTTGCAGGACCCGCACGTAGCAGAGCGAGGAGTCGGCCCCGGCAAGGATTCAGGCTGCGAGCGGGTGCAGGGTCCACATCGAGCGGCAGCAGAGGGAGGTTCGGCTCTTCGGACCAGTGGACCCCGTGGCAGTGGCGCAGCGCCTCTTGAAGGCACGCAAACTTTAGCTCAGACTCCTTCAGTTGTCCGAGTTC